ATGACGTCAGTAGTACTACAGCTATTTTCCGTTAGAATTTTTTCAAAGTAGAATCTGATATATCTTCGTCTCAACAACGAAAGTTATCTGTGTGTACGCCCAGATGCTAACGTTGTAATTGAAAATGATACAACGATCCTTCCATTGTTTTGTTTTGTTTAATCTTTTGTTTTCTTAGTTCTCTTTAATATGGTTCTGCCTTTTATTGTTATTGTTGTGTTAGATTTGTTTTCAGTTCTTACGAAGAAGAATTTTCTATAATTTTTCTATTTCGTTCAATGCAAAAAATGCTTTCCCAAATTGTTTACACGTAGTATTATAAATATTTTTTTATTTTTTTATAAAAAAAACTACATAAGTTTTTAAAAGTAAAAACAAAAATTTGTAAAAAATGTATTGCTGACAAACATTTATAACATTTTTTCAACAAAAATATTCAATTCAATTTCGATAGGATATAGTAAAAGTGTTACTACAGCTACTGCCACCAACACTATTAATACTACTCATATTATTATTATTATTATTTTTATTATTACTATTATTATTACTACTACTACTACTACTACTACTACCACTACTACTACTACCACTACTACTACTACTACTACTACTAATACTACCACTACTACTACTACCGCTACTACTACTACTACCACTACTACTACTACTACCACTACTACTACCACTACTACTACCACTACTACTACTACTACTACTACCACTACTACTACTACTACCACTACTACTACTACTACTACTACTACCACTACTACTACCACTACTACTACTACTACTACTACTACTACTATTAGCTAAAAAAACCGGTGCTACTCAAGTACTACTTTCTGGGTTCCGTTAAGTTCATCTGCTTGTACTTCTTCTCAGTGCAAACCTTCAGTGGTGGAAGAAAATTTACATCTAGATTACTTTTTCCATTTAAATTTGCTATTGAAAATTTTGCTCTGCTCTTTTAGTTATATTACTTATTCAATATTAAAACTTTAATTTACATACAAGTTCATCCAAATTAATCTAAAAACACCAATTACAACAAATATTGTTAGATGGATGGATGGATAAATAGATGGTTAGATAGATAAAAGAATATATAGATACATACATAGATGTATAGATACATTGATGGATAGATAGCTATTGAGTTAGTAACGCCACATAAGTTTTTACACAACCGAAGTGAAACTTCAACACGAAAGTTCATCATACAATAGAGTCATTAACTTTTCATTACAGCACGTGTTAACTAATTTCGAGAAATTTGTTTCGTCTTGTTTTTTGTTTTTTTTTCTCCCTTCTTCGATTTTTTATCTATTTATTGTATTTTTTTCACCCAGAATTTAGCTTTCTGTTGATAAATTTTTTTGTTGCTCTAAAACTTTTTTTTATTTAATAATTTGTAATAAAATGTGGCTTATAAGTTTTAATACGCACACACACACAAATACGCAAACACACACATACACACACACAAAATGAAACTTTTACCGAAAAATCGCCATAAAAAACAGACACTCGAATATATAGAACAGAAGCCAAGAACAAATTCATTTATTTCTTTTTGATTGTTCTTTCTGTTTGTTTTTTAATTCTTTCCCGGCCACTTGATATTGTTTCTTTTTCCTTTTTTTTCCTATTTCAGTCAGCCATTAAAATCAATTCTCTAGCATACTCGCTCATGATTCTGTAATTAAATCCTGATCGCCTGCCAATGATTACAAAAGCAAGATTCCAAAGTGGAAAGCAATAACTTGCGCGCTGACGCTCACGCACACACGTACACGCACGCACACACACACAGACACACAGATACATTCACACATACATACACAAATGCATTCACACATACATACATAGATACATTCACATATACAAACACAGATACATTCACACATACGTACACACACTCATACATATAACACATACACGTATTAAAAACACATACGATCAAAAAAACTGATTTGACAATCGCGTGTTATCTTTTCATCAAACATACACACGCGCACATAGACACACGTACACATAGACACACGCATGCACACACGGGCAAACACACACGCATTCATACGTCAATCAAACGACAGCGATACGGATTATTGAAAAATTGCAGAACGATACAAAACAATGCAAAACAAAAACCAAAAAAGACTTTAAAAAATTCTGACAAGTAGGAAATTGAAATTAGATCGGGTTCGTTATTCTAGAAATAAACACGCACATGAACACATTTCTAAACACATACACACTAGAGGTGGCCATGGGAGCGGGAATCGCGGAAACCCCTGGTTCCCATGGGATTCCCAAGAAAATTAGTAAAACTCAATTTTCGGGAATAGAAATTTTAGGGAATAGGGAATCGCTGTTTGGGAATCGGGAATGACGGGCGGGGAGTATGGAAAAATTCCCAATTCCCGCTCACCTCTTACACACCACACACACACACGTTCATATCAATTTGCACTCAGAAACTTATGCATGCTTATTGCTTAAACGTTCGGTTTGCTGGCAACCTTATATTTAAAACAATACTTTTCATCAATCAACCAACCAGCCAATTAATCAACCAACCAACCAACAAATCAACCAACCAGTCAACTAATCAATCAATCAATCATACAATCAATCAAAAAAAGATAACTTTTATGTTTCTTTTTCGCATTCAACTACCTTTCAATGCAAACACGCAATATATCGTGATTAGATCACTTATTGACATCCATCGTACTCACGCCTCAGTGAGCATTTAAACTGCCCCAGGCTGTGTAGGAAGTTTTAATGAAAAAACCATCCACTCAATTAGCACTAATTAATTATTCATTTATCAATTTCATTAGTATTGTTATTACTATTATTATTATTATCGTTATTGTTATTTATGTTGTTCGGCTTTGCTGAAAATTCCTGACGCGACTGACACAAAGTAGGTCACCTGAGGTCAAATCGGGGTCAAATCTTTAAAGTAGGTCGCTGGGTCAAATTAATTACAACCTACATGCATGATGATGATGATGGTGATGGTGGTGGCAATTGTGATGAATAGGGTTATGATAGCAATGTTGACGATGGTGTTGATGATGACTACGGTGATGATTATGGTGGTAATGATGATGATGTTAATGAAGATGATAAAAGTGATGATAAGGATTATGATGAAAATATGATAATGGTGTTAATTATGACGATGAGCTGGGGATAAAATAGTATACATGCATATAAAGATAAATTTGTGTTATATATCGCAGACTTTGATACAAACATCCTTACAAACGAACGTACATTTGAACAAAAATACAGTAATACAAACAACACATACACACATTTATACAAACATACAAACAACACAATTCGATTCTACAAACAATTATACAAACGTACAATATTAATATACAAAACAAACATAGCATTTTAATTTGCGTACGACAGTGCATACAAGTAAATAAATATAAAACCACATGTTTGTTCAACTTCTCCCTCGCTAAAACATTCAAACGTCACATCCGATCCGATTTGATTCGGTGCAAAACTTCACAATGAAACAAAGAGACATCCATTCAACAGTACAAGCAAACAAACAAACGCATACAATTGTGTATACAAACGTACTCCATATATACAGACATACATACAGACATACACACAAACATACATAAAAACATACATACAAAACGTACATACAAAACATGCAGTACATACAGAAAATACACATACACACCTAAAGCACACCAAACATACAAAAAATTCAAGAAACTCCAAACGCCAAACCTATATAAAACACTGAACATACAAAAAACATACAAAACAAACATACAAAGTCAGTTGTTTGTATGAACGAACAAGGTACATATCAGCATGTTTGCACAACAATCAATGTGATGTGCATTAATTGTGTCGAGACGAGACATGTCTCACTGGGATACTAATTATATGCATGCATGCATTTCTGAATTGTCTGTACGTGTTTGTGCATTTGTACGTGTGCGTGTGTATGTGTGTGTACGTGCATATGTTTGTGTGTGCGTGTGTGATTGAATGAGTGCAAAATGTCAAAAATAAAATAATAAATAAATGAACAAAGATATGATTTAGAAGATGGTAGCGATAATAAGTAATAATATAAATGGAACATAGACGTGAAAGTGTGAAAAAAAATTAAAGATGGAACACTTGTGAGAACGATAAATTTTAAAATGTTAAAAGAAAAAGCTCACATGTTATGTAATAAATGGGTGGATGAATGGATGGATGGATGGAGAGAGAGAAGGAAAAACCGGCAAATGAATGAATAGATAGTTGGATAGATAGGTGATAGAAAAAATAAAAAGATAAATAGATATATGGATAGACGGATGGATAAGTGGCTGCTGAATGGATAAATTGATGTATGTAAAAATAGATGGATACATAGATAGACAGATGAACAGACAGATTTCTGGATGGATGGATGGATGGATGGATGGATGGATGGATGGATGGATTGGTGAATAATGGATGAATGAACTAATGGCAAAAGCCTACAAATGGTTGAGAGCTGCAATGAAATATATGTTTGTTTTAAAACATTAGGACGAACATTTTTTGAAAATAAATATTGAATGTGCTGCCAGCCAGAGAGAGAGAAAGAGAGAGAGAGAGATAGATAGATAGAGAGAGAGAGAGAGAGAAAGAGAGAGAGAGAAAGAAAAGATAAGAAAGAAAAATAAAGAAGAGAGGAAGAAAAAGAAAGAGAAAATATACAACCTCTTTAAAGATTCAAAAGAAATGAAATTGAAATAAATTTTATAAAAATTCCTCATCGAAAAAAAATTAAGGCAGCCAAATGTCGGACTTGATAAAAATTATGCGCTTGTAAAAAGTAAAAAAAGTCTGTCTGTCTGTCTGTGTGTTTGTGTGTCTATGGGTGTGTATGTTAAAACCAAAACATGATGAGTGGCACTGAACCGTCAAACATCAAGTAACAAATGGATTAACACTTTGATTTGTCGTTAATTGCACATGTCGGCATTCAGTTGGATATTTTCAAGCACACAGACACGCAGGAACCGCTGCAACAAGCACGAAATGTGGTTAGTTGCGAAAAACAGTTCCCTGCTGTCGCCTGATCTGACGCTGATCATTTTGCATATTTCCTTAAGAAATTTAAGGGTGTTGGGGTCCATCGGGCCAAGAACCTCGATGCATATTGGCAAGAATTCCATCGAGGGGAGGGCGTTCCCATATTTTTTCATTTTCTCGTCCGCTGCCCTGGCCGCGGCCAAACCGCATTCTTTACTTGTCAGGTTTACGTATCGTTCGGCGAGGGTGCCAGGGACCGTAACATCCCACGCCAAACATCTGCCGGCTCTCCAAGGTATTAGCGTGCATCCGTCTGGGCGCCTACCATCATGCGCAGAAATGCCGGATGGTTCCTTGAGAACCGGGATTGAAGCCTTGGAGAAGAGCCGACAAATGTAATCGTTTAGCGCTGAGTGACGTAGTTGACGGCCCCCACCCAGGCGACAAACCAAACCGTGGTGCCCAAACTCGTCCGCCCCAGCGCCACATCGGCACGTGTATTTATTCTGAATGACCAGGCCAAGTCTGAAGCCAATGGCAAATCTCACAGACTCGTCGTCAAGCCTGGTGCCCACAGAGGTGTTAGGCCACGATCTCAACCACCCACAGCTGGCAACGCTGTACATGGCCAACAAACGAGCGGTGGAAAAGTCGTCGCCGCATGAAGACAACAAATTTTGAAAGATTTTTTTATATTCTTCGTTCAAAATTTGGACATGCGTACGGTCCCCCGGGGCGGACACTGGGGGAAGAATATCGCGGCAACGAAAAAACCAGTGGAGCAGGGAAGACTGCAGGTCAAGAGTGGCAGTGAGCCAGTGAGCCGGGTCACCAGGGTCATTACAAACAGCCGTCAGCAAGGCGTTCAGATCATGTGCGAACTTCTCCCTGCATGGCTTAGGGATATGGTCGTACACCGGTACACATTTCAGCACGGTCGTCAGCTTGTCAAAAACACCAGAGTAATCCAGGCCGAGAGGATCACCGGAGACCGATGCGGCCGACGACCGTGTGGGCAACCCAGGCTTGGGGTCAGGTCAGGTCCTCGCGCCCGATGGATCAACTTTTTTCCGGGACCCCGAGCATTCCTGTCCTTTCACTTTACCTCCGTGCCGACATAACTTCCCGTCTGGAGTGCTTCTATAGTGGTTAAAGCAGACGGGGCACTGTTGTAACGTTGGAGCCATATGTGATTAAAAACAACCAAGAAACGAGGGAAAGGAAACAAACCAAGTGAGGTGGATGGATGAATGAATGGATGAACAAGCGAATGACCAAAGGAACGGGCCAGCGAACAAACGAATGAGTGAATGATGGGGGAATGAATGAGCTAATTACTGAACGGACGAGTGAGGGAAAAAAAAGAATGAATGAGTGAGTGAATAAATAAGTGAATGAATAAACAACCGAACGAATGGATGAATGAATGAATAAATGAATGAGTGACGGAATGAATGAACGAGCGAACGGATGAGTGACTGAATGAGTGACAAACCCGGGACAAAATTACAGCCGATGCCCCCAAAAATCATCTATAAAAACAATTTAAAATCTATGAATTTAGCAAAAGTAATCAGGAAATTAAAACAATCCAGCCGGCTTTGAATGTGAACAAACGTATGTAAGGTGTGTATATGTGTATGTGTATGTCTGTGTATGTGTGTGTGTACCTGTGTGTGTGTGAGTGTGTTTCGAATCATCAAGTTTATAAACGACAATTCGTGTATCTATTTTTGCATTTGGTATTCCTTGCATGCGTTTATGTTTGTATATTTGTATGGATATATACCGTTAGTATACAAGTGTTTATATAAGTTTGTATGTATATACAAATGTTTGTATAACATTGTGTGTTTTTTTGTATGTTGGTTTATGATATACAATGTACGTACAAAGTTTGTATGCTTATTGATATTGTACGCTGTTGTTGTTTCTGTCTTGATGTATGTTTGTTATGATCAGCGCTGGAAGTACATTCTGCGTTCAGAGGACTTTTTGAAAAATCTTTCCACTCAGGAAGAGAGGAAAGTAGAATAAAACATAAGTAGGAGTAATAAACAATGAATTGTGTGTCAGAATATATTGCTATGCTATGACATGATCGGGATAGATAGAAGCAACATCTTCACACACGCACTTCCCTACCACACATACACACACCCTCACATACATTCACACACACCACACACACACACACACACACCACACTAACACACACACATATACATACTCAAATACACCAAATTAAATAAACACATGTGTGTATGTAAAATAATATGTTTTTACACGTTAATAACGCGCGCACACATGCACACACACACAAATATATGTTCGTGCATTTATGAGAACCTGTCGTATTACGTCACTTTACAATCTTATGTCATGTTATGTTACATGATGTCTTCAAGCTCAAAAGCTCCAGCTCAATGAATAATTTGGCCAAATGAATCTTTATAGTCTCTTACCAACAAATCCTCATTCATATTTCATTAATTTATTCACTGCGTGTGTGTGTCTGTGTTGTGTTTCTGCGCGTGTGTATGTGTGTGAGTGAACATTCGTGTATGTGCGTGGGGTGTGTGTGGTGTATGAATGAATAGATACGTGTATGTGTGTGGTGTGTATGTGTGTGAGTGAATAGATACCTGTATGTGTGTGTGTGAATGGATATGTATGCGGGTAATCATTATAATTATGAATTTCTTCTCCGCATGCATACTAAATAAATGTGTGCGTGCGTGTATGTGTACGTGTGTGTGTATGTCTGTGTGAGTTTAAATTGATAATTCATTATTGTATCTTTTCTGTTTATTGTTTGTTTGAATGTGTCGATATGTGTATATGTAATTTTTGTGTGCGATTTTGTATGTTTGTATATTTTGTGTATATTTGTTTGTATGTGTATTGAATTTTCTGTATGCGGTTAGGCAGTAAAGTGATATTTATGATTGTTTAAATATTCTTTAAAATTCTAAATCAGCCAGACAACCAGCCAGCCCATATGTTTTCTATCTTATGTTTTGTTGTTCAATAATGTGCCGGTCGGTTGGTTGGTCGGTTGGTTGGTCGGTTAGTTGGTTGGTCGGTTGGTTGGTTGGTTGGTTGGTTGTTTGGTTGGTTGTATGGTTGGCTGGTTGGTTGGTCGGTCGGTTGATCTGATGAGAAGTAAT